ACATACTGGCAACTGCCAATGGTACCAGTTTATATTATACTTACTGTAGTATGGAGGAGTTGTGTGGTTCAGGAGGAGGGTGGACAAGACTAGCATATCTGGATATGAGTGACTCTACAGTGAACTGTCCTTCTGGGTTTAGACTGTACCAGTCAGGAGGAGTTAGAGCTTGTGGTAGACCAGTAACAAGCAGTGGTAGCTGTGTATCAGTTCAGTTTCCATCTAATGGTATCAGTTATTCTCAGGTGTGTGGTAGGGTAACCGGATATCAATATCATTCACCTGATTCAGTTAATAGTAATATTGATTTAAATAGCTACTATGTTGATGGTGTTAGTATCACTCGTGGATCTCCTCGTCAACATGTATGGAGTCTAATGGCTGCCAATTGTGAAGTGAATTTTTTTTTCACTTTTGATCGTTTCTGTCCTTGTGGTACTGGCTCTGTGGTTTCAGTTTCATCATTTATTGGAGACCATTATTTTTGTGAATCAGGGATCGGTGGTACTGGTTTTAATCGAAAGCAATTGTATACATCTGATCCACTCTGGGATGGTGAAGGTTGCGGTTTTCTTGAATCACCTTGTTGTGATGTTCCTGGTATCCCATGGTTTCACAGAGACTATGGTAACACTGCCACTACTGACTATATTGAGTTGAGGGTGTGTGGAGATGAGGGAACTGATGATGAAGATGTTCCTGTTGGTTATTATGAGATTTATGTCCAGTAGAATAGTTTTATTATAAACCTTTTTCTTAGCTTTAGTTATAGCTTGTATCTGTTATAGAACAGTCATATTTAGTGTAATTTTAATTGAATTGTTCACAATGTAATTGTGCATTCCTTGCTTCCTTTTCTCTATTTTCTAATGAACTCAATTAAACCAATTACCTGAGATATTTAACTCTTATTTATTCAATGGTGCGTCCTTTGTTCTGCAACTGTACAGATAAATTGGTGGGATTTTGATCATGTGGCATTTTATCTTGGAAATTTTGGAACCAAAGATACACAATAGAAAATGAAATCAATCAATCTCTTTAGTACATTTGAAGCAGACCCTTCAGTAAGACAAAGGTTTTATTTGTGTATCTGTAAGGATCAGTTTGTAAATGTATTAAACTGTTGTACAACTTCTATGCTTTTGTATACAGGAGGAGGAGGAGGTAATATCACTTTTTAAATTCCTGTGCTGCAATTGGCATCATCATTAGTTTGCTCCAACTCTTATATAAACATTAGTTATACACACTCATTAACAAACCTGTATTGAAGAATTAGTAGTAAAATGCTTATTAGTGTACTACTGCTTATGATTGTTATTCACTACACACCCAGTTACGATAGACATACTAGTCCTTATCTACTCTTAACATTCCTAGCTTTACCTTAGTTTATATAGAGTAGTATTCTCTACATTAGTTAAGAATGCCACACACATACCACTACAGTTATTGGTTGCCACATCAAATGTACCGAACAATATTAGAATTACTGATAACCAATGAAGTAAGTGTATAGTATTATTAAAAGTAAATTTACCTGATGAATCTTTGATATAAGTCATATTCTAAAACTATTTTTAATATTTTAACTCTTTGCTTTTACAGTAGTCAGAGCCTCAGTGACTAATTACATCAAAGCTTCTAATTACTCTACAAACATAAATTCTTCCTGTGTAGTAAAGTAAATTCTACTGATATTTTGTTATATCTTACATTTATACCTAAGCTCGTACTGTTATGTAGTGTTATTTGTGAAGTTGTGTTAAAAGCCATTGCATATATACATATTATTTGTAATGATATGCTACTTCTGTGCCTACGATAAATGTATATAATTTGTATAGAAATTTGTGTGAAGTTGTTAACGAATACAAAGGAAGTCACCTGATTTCATGAATATGTTGTAGGCTATATATAGATTAGCTTTCTTCCAGTCATATTATTATAACAGAAGCAACAATGGAGAGCCACGTTGAAGAGAATCAATATTCTACAGCTGATGAAGTGATGTACGAAATGAAGGCACTACCTTCCAGTCAAGAGCCAGAGCTACAGTGTCAAGTACAACCTCAACACAGCAAGAAATACACTGAAGACAAATGGTTGCTTTGTATAATTGCAATAGTGCTAGTGGTTATATTGGTGCTGCTTATCATTTTAGTGTTTATGTGTGGCTTTTTAATATCACAACCATCTCCTGCTGAATGTAGCACTACTGCTACCGGTGCTGCAGTTGCTGGTCTGACTGCTACTGACAATCAAATGTGTCAGCTGTGTAATGAAACTCTCATTCACTTTGCTCAAGAAATTCGTAAAAGCATTGGTAATATTGTCAATGGAACAACTAACAGCACCCAATCTTTGGTCCAGGGAAGCATTGAACAATTGGCCCTTCTAGTTGATATTGCTCAAGAAATCAACAGGAATGTCAACAATGCACACTATGGTACTAATGAAATCCTTTCTCATATTACTAATGTCACTCATATTAATAATGTACTTGCTTTGGACCACACAGAAAATTTAATAAAACTAAGTAACAGTTTTCATAGCATTGATGCTGGCATTGAAAATTCCACACAAATTCTTTCTTTGATTGAAATTGCATTGAACAACAACACAAATTTGTTTAAAACATATGCTGCATGTAATAGTGATTCTCTTCCCAGCATTGTGAACACTCTTTCTAATATACAAGACACCAGTACCTCTACTGCTGGAGTGGTTGATGATATACTAATAGTAGTACAAGAACTACTGCAGTTACATAATGCTTCTTCTTCACTGCCTACATCATGCAAACAAATTAGACATGAAAAACCAAACAGTCCATCAGGAATCTACATACTGGTAACCACTAATGGGAGTAGTTTATATTATACTTACTGTAATATGGAGGAGTTGTGTGGTTCAGGAGGAGGATGGACAAGACTAGGATATCTGGATATGAGTGACTCTACAGTGAACTGTCCTTCTGGGTTTAGACTGTACCAGTCAGGAGGAGTTAGAGCTTGTGGTAGACCAGTAACAAGCAGTGGTAGCTGTGTATCAGTTCAGTTCCCATCTAATGGTATCAGTTATTCTCAGGTGTGTGGTAGAGTAACTGGATATCAATATTATACACCTGATGCAGTTAATGATGAATTCGGTTCTAATCACAATAATTTGAATGGTGATTATGTTGATGGTGTTAGTATCACTCGTGGGTCTCCTCGTCAGCATGTCTGGACACTAATGGCTGGAAATTTTGAAGATAATGTTAATTTTCTTCCTTATAATTGTCCTTGTGCTACTGGCTCTACCCAACAAGTTCAATCATTCATTGGTGATCATTATTTCTGTGAATCAGGGATTGTTGGTCAAACACGGCAACAACAATTGTATACATCTGATCCACTCTGGGATGGTCAAAGTTGTGGTTCTGCTGAATCACCTTGTTGTAATGTTACTGGTATCCCATGGTTTCACAGAGACTATGGTAACACTACCACTACTGACTATATTGAGTTGAGGGTGTGTGGAGATGAGGATACTTCTAATGAAGATGTTCCTGTTAGCTATTATGAGATTTATGTTCAGTAGAACAGTTTTACTATAAACCTTTTTCTTAGCTCTAGTTATTATAGCTTGTATCTGTTATAGAACAGTCATGTTTAGTGTAATGTTAATTGAATTGTTCACAATGTAATCGTGCATTCCTTGCTTCCTTTCCTCTATTTCCTAATGAACTCAATTGAACCAATTATCTGAGATATTTAACTCTTATTTTTTCAATGGCGCGTCCTTTGTTCTGCAACTATACAGATAAATTGGTCGGAATTTGATTATGTGGCATTTTATTTTGAAAATTTTGGAACCAAAGATACACAATAGAAAATGAAATCAATCAATCTCTGTAGTACATTTGAAGCACACCCTTCAGTAAGACAAAGTTTTTATTTGTGTGTCTGTAAGGATCAGTTTGTAAATGTATTAAACTATTGTACAACTTTTATACTTTTGTATACAGGAGGAGGAGGAGGAGGCTATATCACTTTTTAAATTCCTGTGCTGCAATTGGCATCATCATTAGTTTGCTCCAACTCTTATATAAACATTAGTTATACACACTCATTAACAAACCTGTATTGAAGAATTAGTAGTAAAATGCTTATTGGTGTACTACTGCTTATGATTGTTATTCACTACACATCCAGTTATGATGGACATACTAGTGCTTATCTACTCTTAACATTCCTAGCTTTACCTTAGTTTATATAGAGTAGCATTCTCTACATTAGTTAAGAATGCCACACACATACCACTACAGTTATTGGTTGCAGTATCAAATGTACTGAGCTATATTAGCATTACTGATAACCAATGAAGTAAGTATATAGTATTATTAAAAGTAAATTTACCTGATGAATCTTTGATATTTTAACTTTTTGCTTTTACAGTAGTCACAGACTCAGTGACTAATTACATCAAAGCTTTCTAATTACTCTACAAACATAAATTCTTCTGTAAATGCCGTGTAGTAACTAGTAAATTCTAATAATTTTTTTGTTTAATCTTGCATTTATTCCGTTTGGCACGATTGAACAACAGTTTTGCTTTAGTCGTATTGTTATAGCAGAAGCAACAATGGAACGTCTTGTTGAAGAAAGTCAATCTTCTACAGCTGATGAAGTGATGCATGAAATGAAGGCACTACCTTCCAGTCAAGAGCCAAAGCTACAGTGTCAAGTACAACCTCAACACAGCAAGAAATACACTGGAGACAAGTGGTTACTTGGTGTAGTAGCATTAGTGCTAGCCGTTGTAATGGTGCTGCTGATTGTTTTAGTATTTATGTGTGGCTTTATGATGTCACAATCATCTCTTAGTGCCACCACCCAAGCTTTGGTCCAGGAAAGTATTGAAAAATTGGCCCTTCTGGTTGATATCGCTCGAGAAATCAGCAGGAATGTCAACAATATACAGATCAATGAAATCCTTTCTCTTATCACTAATGTAACTCACATCAATAATGAACTTGCTTGGGACCACGCAAAAGCTCTTTCTCTTGTTGAAAATTTGTTGAACAACAACACAGATTTATTGAAAACTTTTGCTGCATCTAATAGTGATTCCCTTACTAACATTGTGAACACTCTCTCTAATCTACAAGACACCAGTGCCTCTACTGCTGGAGTGGTTGATGGTTTACTAATAGTTGTACAAGAACTACTGCAGATACATAATGTCTCTTTTTCACTACCTACATCTTGCAAACAAATTAGATATGAAAAACCAAGCAGTCCTTCTGGTTTGTATCTACTGACAACTGCTAATAGTCGAACTATTAATGCTTACTGTAATATGGAGGAGTTGTGTGGTTCAGGAGGAGGATGGACAAGACTAGCATATCTGGATATGAGTGACTCTACAGTGAACTGTCCTTCTGGGTTTAGACTGTACCAGTCAGGAGAAGTTAGAGCTTGTGGTAGACCAGTAACAAGCAGTGGTAGCTGTGTATCAGTTCAGTTCCCATCTAATGGTATCAGTTATTCTCAGGTGTGTGGTAGAGTAACTGGATATCAATATTCTGCACCTGATGCAGTTAGCATTCATCATGGTTCTAATCAAGACAATTTAAATAGCTATTATGTTGATGGTGTTAGTATCACTCGTGGGTCTCCTCGTCAACATATCTGGACACTAATGGCTGCCAATTATGAAATGCATAGTATTGGTACACTTAGTTGTCCTTGTGCTACTGGCTCTACACTACAAGTTCAGTCATTCATTGGTGACAATTATTTCTGTGAATCAGGGGTTGCTGGTCTATTGGAACAGCAGTTGTACACATCTGATCCACTCTGGGATGGTCAAAGTTGTGGTACTCTTGAATCACCTTGTTGTAATGTTCCTGGTATCCCATGGTTTCACAGAGACTATGGTAACACTACCACTACTGACTATATTGAGTTGAGGGTGTGTGGAGATGAGGGAACTTCTAATGAAGACACTCCTGTTAGCTATTATGAGATTTATGTTAAGTAGAACAGTTAATAGCTTTTGTGTGCGTGCTCTTTTTAGATTAGTCTTTCTTTGACGTACTAAACATGTTTTTTATGTCAGTTCTGATTTTTTGTAATTGAAATTTCCTTATTTTTATTCTCAAAAGTTTCTTTTTCGTACTGACAGACCTTTTGTGTAGGAAAGCAGTATATACTTATATCCAATATCAATTTGCATTATTTATTTGCTGCACAGGATTTAAATAGGTCAGAGAATAGATTAAATCTATGCACAAGGATAGTCTTGTACTGCAATGGGAGATGAAAGCTATCAGTCCGTCCAACCAATGAGTTTAACAAGAGAGAATGAATATGAACTGGCTCATTACAGTAAAGGAGAGATAGAGCCTCAGCCTCATATTGTATCTGATAGTAAATCATCCCATCAGTCAGTGTGGAGTATACCAGTTATTATACTAACAGTATTGATGTGTATCATACTGTTACTACTGGTTACTATTATTATCATGATTGGACTGAACTGGACTACACAAGATGCTACTGGCACTAGATCTGATACTTAGCTATTATGAGATTTATATTCAGTAGAACATTGTAGTTTGATTAGAATCGAGTAGTATCTTTACAATAATTAATTTAAGAGTAGAAAACACTGGACTTATAGCTCAGTAGCCTGCATACACTTGCATTTTGTCAAATTGAATTGTGTCTTTATAATTTTTAGTCTAAATAAATTTATATGATTTAAAAAGTTTATTCTCTAAATTTTTAATTTGCACTATGGAATACCCATCTAACTAGCTATACTGTAGTTAAAAATGATGTGTACTTTTATGAATGATAAAAGCCTACAAGTATCTTTGACACAAAAACTAAACAATTATATTCTTTATCCTTGCAAGCTTACTTTTCCTAGCACAGTAATAATACATTTTTTAAATTTTGAACTATGGTATTAGTAGAACAATTGCCATTTATTATATTTTATTTATTTCAGGTTTTGTGTTGAAGTCACTAAGGACACTGCCAGTAATATTCCTAATCACACAATATGTCTTCGATCAGTTTTCACTGTCACTAACCTTCTGCCGTACGGCTTTCATTTCTCCTTCAAGTCAAAAGAGAAACTTATACCATCAGGAAAAGAAGTGGCCATTCACAATGTAAGTACATATAGAATATTAATTTTTGGATTGTTCTCTAATAATCAGGGTTTTTGTGAATTTGTTATTGAACATGTGCAAAATAATAAAGCCAATAGTTTTTTTTGTAATAGCAATTATTCCCAAAGTGATAATGCTAAACTTATTTTTGTCAGTGTAAATTTACTGATCCTTCTGTCATTTCTTTGTACAGGTTAATTCTCTGAGGCCTGTAACCTTCTCTATCAGTAAATTAGAGTCGTTTGAATTTTCTGACAAGTGCACTGTCTCCATTACTGAAGTGGGTGTGGTCAAGTCGCTGATTGTTCGTGATAAGGCAAATTGTTCACTTAATCTTCATGTTAACACTGAGCTGATGTCTAAAGGATCATTGAAAGTACTTAATATTGATTTTTACAAATAAAATTAAATTAATATTGTAAAAAATTTCTTAAATTAAAAGCTTCCTAGAACACTGTATAGAGCTAAATGGCATTTGTATATTTTATATTTTACGAGTAAAAGTTGTAAAGAATTTTTTTATTTCATAGTTTAAATTAGAATTATTTTATTTTTATTTTATTGTAGGTGGTTATTTGGTGTCCCTATTGGTTGATCAATAGGACTAGTCTCCCGTTGGTGTTCACGTCACAGGGAGACAGCAGTGGGGGAAAGTGTGCTGGCCAGTTTGAGGAGCATGAGACAGCTACAAGCATGTCACCTCTTCTCTTCTCTTACTCTGAAGATGATCTGCTACAAAAGTATGAGAACCGTTGTATTTTATTAAAATTAAATTCTCCATTTTTTATAACTTTTGTTGTTGGTGCATGAACTGATTTTGATCAAAACTTGTACTATACAGGGTTTCCCACAGGATTTTTTGGGATAATGCTCATGCAGCTTCTTGTCAATGGATTGTCAAGTTGCTCAAAAATTGGGCCAAAGATCCTATAAGGAGAAAACCTCGCAAAGAGAGAATTCTCCATTTTTAAAGTTGCTTAAAAATTAGGCCAAATTTTGTCAAAATTGGTTGCGAAAGAATTCTCAATTTTTATAATTTTTTCTGATACGTATACACTTTTTCATGTTGTGTATCAACCTTGAGCTGATTTTTATCAAAATTTGATTTTTTGACTTTTAAAATTTGCTACAAATGCCATGTACTATATCTTCACCCTTTTTTATTTTCCTTATCTCCCTTTCACCTTTTCCTCTTTTTCTCTATTGTCTCCTTCCCTCACTCCTTCTCTTTGTTAAGGTGTCAGGTTCGTTTGGGCAGGGGACAGGATGAGGGGGTCCCCAGTTGGTCCAACGGCTTCCGCATGCTAAGAGATGAAGACGTCCTTCGCCTGTTTGTTAAAAGAGGCCAAGGAAGACCAGACAAGTATGTAATGGTGTATTTTCACTAGTTTCAATCACACAACTACAGCCATTGCAATAATACACTCTATTATTAAGCATTAAATCTATTAAACTATCAAACATTAATAGTCTTTAATTAATTATTTTCATTTTAGAGAGTATCAGATCGGTATGGAGGTAAAGAAAGGCACTGGGGTCTACAAGCCGACCAAAGTGGTGACGTTTGTTGCCAGGTTTCAACTAGAGAACAGGACAACATTCAACTTGAAGTACCTCCAGAGACACCTCGTGTTTGCTAAGGATGAATCATCATCAGACTCTGTGCCGGTAATAGCTCCAGGAGCTGTGATGGCCTTTCACTGGCCTAGAGCTGACTTAGATCAGCTATTGTGTATCAGGTAATGTATTTCTTTATTGTGTGACTGTTTGTATGGTGCTTTTCCTTTTTAGCATTTTTTTGTTTATTTATTTCATTCGTTGTTTGTTATTATTTTCACTTGTATTGTGTTATGATATTTTCATTTATTTATCTTATTCATTGTGTATTATTGATTTTACTTGGCGTAGAGTTGTGGAGCTTTCAGATTGTCATTGGTCTGGAGGTTTCCCATTAGAACAAGATAAATCATTTCACATCAACATGAGGTATTAACATACACATACACACACACACATACACACATTAGTTAATCAGAAGTTCCAACTCAAACTGTCTTTATGCCACTGATACATGTATGTACAGCACGTATAACAAGATATGTATTGAAATAGAATTGAGGAGTGTTTTATAGTTTACAAAAAAATATTTTAATAAAAGACTATGCATTATTAAAGTCTATTATATATAGTCCAGTTTCTTGATATTTACTTTTATTGTATTAATGGCTCTTTCTCTCCTCTCTCCTCCCCAGGTGTTCCTATGGTAGGTCAGTGTTCATTAGGTGTGAGGTGATACTAAGAGGAGCCACCTATCATGTCATATTCTCTGATGCTTCAGACTATCCTCCTCCTTTTAAACTAGAGAACCTTTCTCAAGTATAATTTATTAATATGCACATGTACTTGTGTTACATTAAATGTCAAAAATTGTAGTTGTACTTTTAATTTTATTTACATGTATTTCTTGATCTTATTGTGTTATTTATGTCATTATGTTATTTCTGTATATTTCTCATTATATAGATAGCAGTTATATGCTACCAGCAGTCAGTCACATCTCAGCAGCAGTACACAGTATTAAATCCAGGACAATCAGGTATCATTAATTATTTATTTATTTTAAAATTATTTCTATTTATTCTATTTATTATTTTTATTTTTTAGTGCCCTATGCTTGGGACGAAGTAACTTTGCCCGAAAAACTTTGTCTCCACATTAAAGATGTTTCGGAGCCACGCCCATTTGACCTGAGCAGCTTTGGACCTCAAGGGAAGGTTTATTATGAGAGCTACTTCTACATCGTTGCCATGGATACCAAAACCGACCAATCGCATTTACCGGAGAGCCACAGGCTTGAGGGAGAGCTGGTCCTTGATGTACCTCAAGGAAGAGCCGTACTCTTAACTAGGAAAGTATGGAAATCAAACTTTTATATTTTTATAACATGGAGGAGGATGCTTTGTGCATACAGTTATTAATGTATATTAAATGTGTATTAAATCTTGGGCTGCTATTTTTAGTGATAATGTACCTAATTTAGCTTTTTTGATTATTGAATGTTATTTATCATGTAAATGTAAAATATTTTGATATTTTTATTGCCATTAATTTTTGCTTGCATCACTTAGTTTAGCATTTAAGGCAAGTTGTATTGTAATTTAATTTTAATATGTATTAATGTTTATTATTATTTATGTAATATTTATTATTCACAAAATGGTGTTTTTATTTCTATTTTTTTGATTATTTTCTTCCTAGGGTCTTGAAAGGAGGACTCAGCTATGGAGGATGACTGCCAGAGGCCAGTTGGTACACATTTCATCTTCATCCTCAAAATCGGCTAATTTTGTACTGGATCTAGCCGGGTCTGTGCCTCCTAATTATCGCCATAGCAACAGGCCACTCCCCCTCGTCATATCAAGGGCTAATGAGAGACGGTCATCAACACAATCATGGGAATTTAAAGTAAGAAATTACTAATATATCTTTAATTTTTCACTATTTTTGTATAGTGCAAAATTTTCAAGGGCTGCAAATTTTACAAAATTGCCTTAAAATTTATTTTGCAAATTAGTGCGATCTGCCATTTTGTACTGTAATAATTTGATTTTTACACAAGTGATTTTTGCAAATCTTAAAAAATGGGACATCTGCAAAATTTACAACCCTCATAAATTTTGCGCTAGACGGTATTGAAATGATTTTTAGTGAATGATGAAAATTAATTTTATTTTTTAAATTAGAACGGGAGATTGGTCCTCTCCTCCTACCCTCACTTGTGTGTCCAGGTTCGTCATGGTTACGAGGGTAAGGTGGACGGTATGGATGCTGTGGTTGGTTGTGTCGGCAGTGGAGACAAGGAGGAGCTCAGGAGACTCAAGAAATCCCCCGGGAGTGGAGTACTCTCTGTATCTCTGGTACCTGATGGACCCACTCGTGTCCTTAGAATCACTGATGAGAGCAAAAAAGTATTTATTATTAATATTATACATGTACATTCACCCACAACTCATGTACATGTATAAAAAAACCCACAAATCAT